CTCACCGGGAAGCGATATGATTAAATTCAATCTTCTGAAAAATCTCCCAGATATCGCTAAAAGACGCTTGCTAGATTTATTCAATTCCTTGCTAGAAAACAACATTGTACCGCCTGAATGGAGACAAGTCAAAGTAATAGCCATTAAAAACCTGGCAAATCAGCGTCTGACCATAACTCATACCGTCCGATTGCTATGCTTTCGTGCATTAGGAAATTGTTGGAGAAAATGATCCTTCGGAGACTCGATCACTGGGTCGAATCAAATAACTTGCTATCAAATACACAGTTTGGGTTCCGCAAGAGCAAAGGAACAAACGATTGTCTAGCGCTGCTTTCCACAGATATTCAACTGGCCTTTGCGCACAAGGAGCAATTGGCTTCAGTATTCTTGGACATTAAGGGGGCTTTTGATTCAGTTTCCATTGAAATTCTGTCAGACAATCTGCACAGATGTGGACTTTCTGGAATTTTAAATAATTTCTTGTACAATTTGTTGTCAGAAAAGCAAATGAACTTTTCTCTTGGAAAACTGACAACTTCCAGAATTAGTTACATGGGCCTGCCCCAAGGCTCATGTCTCAGCCCTCTTCTTTATAACTTTTATGTCAAAGATATCGACAACTGTTTGGCAGAACAATGCACGCTAAGACAACTTGCAGATGACGGTGTGGTTTCCGTAAGAGGTCCACATGCCGTGGACTTGCAAGGACCATTGCAAAATTCCTTAGATAACTTGTCTTCTTGGGCTATGAATCTAGGGATCGAATTCTCGCCGCAGAAAACTGAACTGGTAGTGTTTACTCGAAAGCGGTACCCAGCCCAAATGCAGCTTAATCTTTTGGGCAGAAACATTACCCAATCATTGTCTTTCAAGTACCTTGGGGCCTGGTTTGATTCAAAGTGCACTTGGAATGCCCATATTACGTATTTGAAGCAAAAATGTCAGCAGAGGATCAACTTTCTCCGTTCAATTTGCGGCACATGGTGGGGTGCTCATCCGGGAGACCTCATAACGCTTTATAACCCAACTATTCTCTCTATTCTAGAGTACGGCTCTTTCTGCTTTCTCTCGGCAAGAAAAATTCACCTAATAAAATTGGAACGAATTCAATATCGTTGTCTGCGTATTGCTCTAGGCTGTATGCACTCAACGCATAACATGAGTCTCGAGGTTCTGGCAGGAGTAACACCCCTCCAGAACCGTTTCTGGGAGCTCTCTCTCAGAATACTAATCAAATGCGGAGTGACGAACACACTTATAATTGCTAATTTTGAAGAAATTCTTGGGTTGAACACACAATCTCGATTTATGAGAATCTACCACCACTACATATCATCAGATATGTGTCTTCCTTGTTATACTCCAGACCGTGTTCACTTCACCAATCGCAGTTCCTCAATTGAATATGATCTGACCATGAAACAAGCAACTCATGGGATTCCCGATCAACTTCGACCTATTATTATTCCGCGTATTTTTACTGAAAAGTACCAACAAGTCAATTGCATGAAAAGATATTTTACAGACGGGTCCCGTCTCAATGGATCCACTGGCTTCGGTGTCTACAATGAAAACTCTAGCGCCTTCCGCAAACTCCAGGAACCTTGTTCCGTTTTTGTTGCTGAGCTGGCAGCAATCAACTTCGCATTGGGGATGATTTCCAATATGCCCACAGACCATTACTTCATCTTCTCGGATAGTCTCAGTTCGATTGAGGCTATTCGGTCGATGAAACCAAGTAGGCACTCATCTTATTTCCTTTCAAAGGTAAGGGAGCAGATGTGTGTGCTGGTCGAAAGATCATATATGATTACCTTTGTATGGGTCCCCTCACATTGCTCAATCCCAGGCAATGAGAAGGCGGACTCTCTCGCAAAGGTGGGCGCGCAGGAAGGCGAATTGTATGACAGGCAAATTTCACACGATGAATTTTACCATTTAGTGCGTCAGAGTACCTTTTCGAGTTGGCAAACCGATTGGGACACTGGAAATCTTGGACGGTGGTTACATTCAATTATTCCTAATGTTTCTTCGAGAGCGTGGTTTAAAGGCTTGGGCTTAAGTCGTGACTTCATTCGCGTGATGAGTAGACTTATGTCCAACCACTACTCGCTAGATGCGCATCTCAATAGAATAAACCTCGTGGACAGCAACATCTGTCGGTGTGGAAACGGTTACGATGACATCGAACACGCAGTTTGGCAATGTACGGATAATGACGCCGCCAGAGAGCGACTTTTGAATACCCTCGAGGCCCAAGGAAGACAACCCTATGTTCCTATCAGAGACGTGTTGGCAACCCGTGATCTCTGCTATATGCAGTCCGTTTATGTTTTTCTTCAAATGTCTAGTATAAGAATTTAATTCCTTTTGTCTTTTGTCTCTCTTTATTAGTTTTTGTTTGTCTTGTCCCCCCGTCTCGATGAGTCTCATCGTCGCCCACTGGTCACCCACCATAGCCGGTCGAACTCCGGACGAAGCTAGAACAGCACTACCGTTCATACTGGCGACAAAGCTCTGATGAGACAACGAAACCCTACCCCAAGCTCCTCCCCTGATCCTATCCTTCGAAAATAGACATAGAATTAAGTGAATTTTGTTACACACAGTGAACAATGAATTATCGGCTCCGTAAAGCTAACGCGATTGAGCCTCCCAAATAAACGAACTAGATAAAAAAAGAAAGGGGCCAACTTTTAGTCAGTTATTTTGTATGAAATACAATATTGATCCGGTGCAATATTGATCTCCTCTCTGTTTTGATTTCGATGACTACTAGGCTCTCTATGTCACTGTATGGATCGCGTTCATTGAGATGTAAACAGGTGAGGCCCAGGTAATTTTTTGTCTCTTTTGTTCCTCCACTGTCAACATTGAGTTGCCATCTTGGCTTTTAGAAAATTGGAAGCCACCATATTGGATTTCAAAATTCAGGACTATCTCACTACGCAGCGCTAATGTGCAAATAAAGCTCATGTGTACCGTATGCGTGATAATGTTTACACCATCGTACAAATAAGGTTCCCGTTTCACCTGTGCATACAATGCCTTGGTTTTCTTTGCATGCACGTAACCTATAGCTCTTACCGTAGTAGGCTGTGTATAAAGGAAAATTATTTACTTAGTTTGACAGTTGCACCATGATGAAGTGGCAGCGTATTCGTGATTTGTCCCACGCGCAAATGTCACAAAAAGACATTTCAATCGCCGTGGGAGTGTCCCGGTGGACCGTCAAAAGGGTTTTAGACCGAGAAAAGAAAGGACAACTATCTGCGAAGGTGGTAACAGGTCGTCCGAGGTCAGCTCGGTTCCGAGGGTTATCGCTGCTATCAAAAGGAAGATTCGGGTGAATCCAGTGCGTTCAAGAAGGAAAATGGCAAAGAAACACAGGATCAGTGACTTTACGGCACGGAAGATCGTAAAGGATGATTGCGGGGCGAAGTCGAGGGCACGGAAAAAAACTCACATGATTACCAACCGTATTCGGAAGCTACGAGTCGAACGATGCAAGAAAATCTTGAACTTCCTTAAGCGAAAAAATCCGGTAATCCTGTTCACCGACGAGAGCGTGTTTACCGTCGATACCGTATCAAATTCCAGAACCGACCGGTGTATTAGTTCTCTTCCGGTAAAAGACGTGGCTGACGAGCAAAAGAACGTGTATCTGACCAAGCATGCTGCTAGCGTTATGGTGTTTGGGTTGGTGGCTTTCGATGGCAAAAAAAATGGACCCGGTGTTCATTCCAGAAGGCGACAAGGTCAACACGGAGGTCTACATCGGGATTTTAAGTAAGTATGTTCTTCCGTGGATCAAACAACAGTACGGTTCGAAGCCAAATGTTGTATTTCAACAAGATTGGACTCCGTGCCACACCTCGAACCGCACTCAGAAGTGGTTGCAGGCACATCTTCCGTTCTGGGCGAAGGATATGTGGCCGCCATCCAGCCCCGATCTTAATCCGCTGGATTACTCAAAATGGCGCGTCATGAAGGCCAAGGTCTGTTCTAAACGCCACCCGAGTACAGCAAGACTCAGACAAACATTGACCCGTACCTGGAGAGAAAAAAATCACGACTACAATATTAGAACCTGCCGTGCATTCCGGAAGCGTGTGGAGGCCATAATAGCAGCAAGTGGAAACTCGATCGATGATTAACATAGTTTAAGACTCTGAGAAACATCCCTCCTTTGAATAAATAAAAAAAAACTTGAAAACGAAATTTTTGAGAATTTTTTTTAATTTTGACATTTCTCAATGGTGCAAACATTATCACGCTTACGGTATATGGCCAGGTTCTCGAGATACAGTTTAGATAGGAAGTTCACATGCTCACTAGCGCTGCGCAGGGAGAGAGTTCTGAACTAATATGAACACCATGCAAAAGGAAATGATCACTTGAAGAACTTTGCTAAAGACAGTAACTTTCTGTATGGCCAGGATCACGAAATATTCTATGTTTGACCTATGATCCATATATTATAGCACCCGTCATAAGTAACATAAAAGTGAAGCGCCTCTAGCGGCGTAGTTCCCAATGAAACCTGAATCCAATGACAACTTTGTCCAAGACAGTATATCTCTATATATTGAAACAAATGATATAATCCACCACAGCCCCTATTAGTGAAAATCCCATAAGCTGTGGGTATCCTTATTCGCGGATAACCCGGCAATAAGGATCCGGCAATTAGGATTCCTGACTGTACATCAATAATTTAACTTGTTGATCATTTCGATTATCTTCCTAAGGAACTTAAAATATGTAGGGTAAACGCTCCTATAGTTGCGGTACGTTAGAAGCGTTAGGTTCCTATAGTTGTGTTTCGAGTCTCCATGCACAACTATAAGAACCTAACGCTTCTAACGTACCGCAACTATAGGAGCGTTTCCCCTATGGATTTTCGGCAAAGAATGCTCAGAGTAGAAAAAAAGCATCAGGTTATTTTTCAAGTAAATTTATTTACAAGGTGGATGACAGTTCTTCAACGTCAATTACAATTCGGTTGAACCCTGATGTGATTCGAGCCACATCGCTGTAATGTCACTATAAAGTCTACCAAATACTCGCATATATTAATGAATCTGATCCTTAAAACTACTTTCACTTAGCCTTAAATTATGTCCTTTACATAATCCAACACGCTCCAACACGGGTACATGGCTATGGCACCTACGGTAAAGTATTCCTACAATGAATGTTATTCCGCTGTCGTCGCTTCTAACGACGCACAATTTATTTGGCACTGGCATATGTAAATATCGTAATCACCCTCCCAGCATCCATCCCAGTCAACTCTCGGGCACAAATTGGCTTGTTTGTTGCAATTTTCCACCTCAAGGGCACCACTGATCAGTTGGATGTAGTTCATCACTATAGTCGTATACAATTCGCGTTTATCCAAATCATGAATAATTTATTGACTTCTGTGAAACGGGTAGGCCTCTCGGTTACAATTCAGCGGTGTATCAACTAGTTCCGTTGATAAGGCTGCCACTACACCGCAGACTGATTTATTTCAGCCCCACACAAGTCAATCGCATTAAGAGCTTATCGAATCTTGCACACATACACACACACACACAGCAATTCGATGCTCATCAAACGTAACTCTCCTGGCGGTTGTTGTCCAGCATAATGATGCCCCCGTTGGGTTGCCGTTCGATGGTTAATCTTGTTATGTACGGATTTGCGGTTGTCCCAATCGAAAGCGGCGGCGGCGGCGGTGGAGGAGTCGCCCTCGGAGCACCGGCACCGGATAGGCTCTCATTCAGTCGTCGGTTCAATTGGGAAATGTCCCGAAAGTGCTCGTTCCGATCGTCCAGGGTACGCTCGAAGCGGGAAAAAATCGGCACTATTGTCGACTCGAGCAGTTCGTCGTGGCATCCAATGGCACCGCTCGAGACGAGCCGCGACAGGACGTGGAGGATGTTTTTGATTGTCTTGCGCTGGGCTTCGGTTTCCACGCGGCTGTCCATTCGTTCGTAAAACTTCTGATTGAAGGTTCCGGTGAGGAAGGTCACCAACGGGCGGCCGGTCAGGTGCTGGTGCGATTTCTTGTTCGAGGACATGTTGTACAGCATCGAGGTGATTTGCTCCTGGGGGGATAAATTAAAGAAGCAAGAGAACGAAATTTTCGCTGATCAGTTGGAGTTTCATAATTAGAGTGTGGGAGGGAAGTTTTCGGGTGCAGGGGGAAATGGCCGATGAGGGATATTGTTTGCTTGGTTTAAAAGAACAGTGGACGAAATTGGGGAAAAAATATTCTGCGGTGCCTAAATCCCCAATGATATGGAATTTTTATTTATAAATATGGTTAGTAAAAGAACAATAGGGGAGACTGGACACATTTCAAGCTGAACATTACATTAGGTTTCTAAGTAACATTGATCGATTCTCTTCGTCGACTTTCTCTTTCGTTAGCACATAATCGTTTCTTGTTATGTTTGTCGTATTAGATGCTAGATAAAAGCTTCTTTTATCGATCTGTGTGCTGAAAATACCTGGGAATGCCTTTACATGGTCGTGGGGATACGAAGAGAAAGTTGACGAAGAGAATCTGTCAATGTTACTTAAGACCTTATGCAATGTTCAGCTTGATTTGATCTCTGAGGACATTTGGTTTCCAGAAATTTTGAGCAGACTTTTTTCACGTAAGTTTCCACAAAAATTCGTCTAAACGGAAGGAAATGTTATGGTGACATTAGCATCGGATTGTGGAGCGAATATATTTTTGACAGCAGTTCGTATCTCTTTAGACTTTTTTTTGCAGTGGAGAAATACGAAAGTTTCCAATATCTTGGCAGGCAGATAGCATTAGACGGCAGGACCAAGAGCGACATAGGTGCACGCATCAAGCAAGCAAGAGTTAGTTCCTCGAAAATATTGCATTTTCCTTGTAGCGTACTAGTGCACGTGTCTTTGAGACGCATCTACACAGGCGATCCATTTTCTTTCCTTTTGGAATTAACGAAAAACCAAAACCGCTTCGGGTTCCTTCGTTTGTAAAGAAATCGGTTGTACAGTTGATACCTGTTACTCGCTTGCGTGAATATGCGCTTTAAAACAGGGCAACAAGAACGGCAGAAATTTCGTAGAGCGTGTTATCTTATTCGTTTTAGCTATCGTAAACGCAACTTGGACCTCGGCGGCTTAGGAGCAGGTCGGCGAATAGGAACACTGCTGACGATGGCTTGGTTCACCTTTCCGTTGAAATAAACCACTGCATCGTCCACACAGGCAACCATCTCGCGTATCTGTCAATCAATATCAACACAATACTGTGTAATCAACACGGCGAAAGTCCAAGCTTTGCAGATCAACGGTATCCTCGAATATTGTAGGAAGCAGTAGCTGAACGGTGACCTCAAGAGCAGGGTGATTCCGATCGAGGTTGATTAATGGTTCCCAAGCATTCGAAACAGCATTTTCACGTACGACATTTTCATTAGCTAACACAAAGTCAGGAATACGACCATTTTGATTAGGATTGATTTGCGTTAAACCATGCAGACTGAACCCATCCAACAAAATTGAACTGGGTGCAGAGAGATACGATTGCTGAAAATCTATGACCGGGAGATCATTCAGTGAATCAGACCAACCCAATTGATTGTAGTCTCCAAACTGAATTGCGATATCCGAAACTTCAAGATTCGAGAGAATTTCTCCAATAGAGTTAACGTCGTTATTGATGTCAGCAACATTTGCTCTCCGATCTGGTGGCAAGTAGATCCAGATTCTTGCGTTACCGGTGGGGGTTTTAATCTTGATCCACAACTGTTCAAGAGTATCACAGACAGATGTAGGATCTAAGCAGCCCCTCAAGTGTGAAGACACGACGATAAGAACGCCACCACCCCTGGAACTGGTGCTGTTTACAGGATTACGATCATTTCGAAAAACAGTATACGAGCTGCCAAACAGTTGCGTTGACATAATGCGGTCATCAAGAATCCGAAGCGGCAAGGAAGAAGTCGTCAATCTTAATGCGTAAGCCTCTAACGTTCTGGTACTAGATGTTGAAACGACGTTCATTTGAGTTCAAATTTTGGTGCACTATTCCCAACCTATCAGTAAGGAAGTTGGTGAAAATGGAGGAAATATGTATCGGAGCAGTCCAAGTCACCATCCGGAAGCTCGGTGAAGAAGTTACCTTCGAGGACACATCGAAACATGGCCGTAAACCGGGACTGGTGGACCGAAAAGTGAACCAGAAGATTACCTAGCTTTCGTAAATTAGAAAAGTGCCTCTGTTCGAGATTTGGCCAACAAATCGTAACGTCAAACGTGCCAAGGCAAGAAACGGGCTTCTTCTTCTTCTTCATTTCTTTATTTAACGGCGGTCTCTGTTCCGCAATCTAGTGCCAATCACCGACGGACATCGATAGCCATCCATTGACGGCAATCGAATGTGTAGGAAGGCAGCTTCCACACCTGCGTAGGATATCGAACCCATTCAACACACATGGATCGGGACCAACGACTTAACTTCCCTTCCGAAGGAAGACGTGACCAGAGATTTTTATGCCTCAGAAAAATCCCACCGACCTCGGCTGAGATTGAACCCAGACCCATTGGGGTGTTAGAAAGCAGTCACGCTTACCACTACACCACTGGCGCTGGCTACGAAACGGGCTGAAAACGTTCAAGAAGCAGAACAAGCCGCATCCGTCAAACCGTGGGCTCGGAAGCTATGCTGTGTAGGAAATTGGTGTGTTATTATGGACGATGAAACATACGTCAAATTTGACTACACAAGACGCTTCCGGGAGACCAATGCTACCGTGATGGTCAGAAAGCTGACGATGCCGATTAGTAAATTTTTACCGAAAAATTTAGTAAAAATGGCATGGTTTGCCAAACGATTTGTGAGCGTTGCAAGTTACCAAGGCCATTTGTGACAAAGCAGACGATGGACACTCAAATTTACGATCGGGAGTGTTTTAATCCGTCAACATGATGGAAAACTACTATTTTGGTCCGATTTGCTGTCAATGCACTACTCGAAAGACACGGTAGTGGTATAGAGCAAACAATTTGCAATACGTGCCAAAAGAGATGAATCCTCCGAATTGTCCGGAGGCCTGGTCTATCAAAATTGTTGACATAGAACTACGTCTGTGATCTCTATATAGGGGTACACTTTGTGAAAACTGAAAATAGAAGATGTAACAAAATTATGAAAGATTTTGAACGTTAATAACTCAGCTGCCTCTGGACCAATTTCAATAATTTTATCACCAATCGGTCAGAAATATTTATAAGCATCTGCTTAAATTAAGACTTTATCATATCTTAAAATTAAGCTATTGAAAATTGCATGAATGTACAACTGTTTCTATGATAATTATCGCATTCGATCGCTCACAGAAACTGGATTCTGGTCTTGAAAAACAAAATCTACCAATACTCGAAACATGTCACATTATAAACACACCACACACTGTCAACAAACGCACAGATACAGACAATTTGAGTAGCACGTATGCTGGCCTTCTTCACACAGTGAAAAACAATAGGTGTAGTAGACGAACACAGCAAAGAGTACAAGAGTCACAAAACGTATCGGTACCGCCATGGTTAAAGTGGCGCAAAAACGAGAAACTGCACCCAAGTCCTGCTAGCCGGTTCATTTTGAATTTCCCACCACTACCGCAAAACTGAAGTGGTCAAGTGAGTAGAAATGTCCTCGAATGTACTCCTGGAGAGTATGACGTCCGACTAACATGAGATCTTGTTTTGTAGCATACGATACCGAACATCGTGACAATTGTGCCTATGCGGTGGGATCTTAACACTCAAACGGAATTTAGTTAGTAAGTAAAATCGAATACGAAATTCCAACATTGTATTAGAAAAAACATATTTACGCAGATTCTTTGAAAAAGGCACAATACATGTGACCGAAACGTCAGATGAAAACTTAAAACCCCGTTTTGGAGCATCAAAAGACTGAAAGCCGCATAGGTCCAATAAAATTATTACCGATTGCCTGCGGAAAGCGATTTCCCTAGCACAGATTTCAAAGTTGAATTCCATTTGGTCTCACCAAACGGTATTTTATCAATAACCTCGTTGTGAGTGGTGGTATTCTCCAGTAAACAACGAAAGGCTCCCCGCAAGCAGCTAGCTATCAAGGCTGGCCTCAACCGCTGATCGGATTCAGTTCCAATCACCGTGTGTGGTGGTGTCCGGTCGTCGGCATCAGCATCAGCAGCAGCAGTGCTTTCGGCGCGTGGCGTTGAACCTTGTTCTCCAGTACACAACGAAAACCGGCCTGCAAGCAGCGAGCTGCAGCCCACTTGAGCATCCATAGAAGGAGGAAGAAGCCGCACCGCTGTTGATCGGAATCAGTAGCTCTTCGCGAGTCGCTGTGGGCCATCTATGTCAAGCGCGTCATACTAAAGAGTATAAACAGAGGGAACCCCGCTTAAACTCCTATTCCTACACAAAACACAAGCTTTTGCTGAAGGTGACAAATAAGATTTATTATATAAGACCACGTAGTCCTACGTCGCCATTGCGTACAATCCCATAAGGCTGTACCTTGTAGTTTTTAGGACCTTTCCAAGGAATATCTACGTAAACATTTTAAGGCAGCGTATTCAATCGAAGAATTTGAAAAAGACTGGACAAAAGGGGCCAACATTATCGCTAAAGAATCTGTGCTGAAGCTTATGGGCTGCGGCAGATCAAAAGTTCGCTCCTTGGCATACGTTTAAAGGAACTGCGGATTATCCAATTGAAAGAGAATACTATCGAGAACATATATATGCAATATAAATATGAGTTCATTAACATAACGTTGATTTATTCCAACAATAAACTGTGATTATACTATCTGAGACACCCTATAAATCTAGTACTTAGTTCTTAACCTTTCAATAGTTCAAATTACATACGCTGATATTCTTCCAAGCTGTCAGGTAGACCAAAAAGTCACTCCAGCGGATCGATAATTTTAATTAATTGCTTTGGATATTTATAAAGATTTCAGGCTGATCAGTAATATAAAAAACTTCAACTGTTAAAAGGTTAAAATGTCGTCATTTATATATTCTTACAGAATGTTACGTTGATTAAAAAATATTCAATG